TCGAGGGGTTAAATCGAACAAGCTAAACGAAACAGCCAGTCCAGGATCCGTTCAAATTCATTCCCATAGCCGAGATTCCAAGCATCATATCCGCCTTGGTTTCCCGTAATACTCGTCGGGTTCTCGATCTCGATCGTCCCGAAAGAACATCCGTCTATCCTGAGAATCCTTTTGCTCGATTGATCGGACGCCCGGCCGGCGATGATTCGCCGCCGACAGAGTCGGCCGATTAATTAAGAAGAAAGGAAGGATCTTTAATCTCGGTATGCGGGCGATCACGGCAATATCGAATCGGCGATCGAGCGCACAAAGGCGGTCAATTCGTCGAAAGCTCGCCTCCTCGCAGACACGGAGAGGAGGCTTGTCAGCCACTTCCTGACTAATTGCCGGCGGGTTCGCCGTTTCTCGGAAGTCCCGTGGAAATATTGCTTCCGCAGGTCGAAGTACCGAAGTCTGACCTCAGGAAGACACGGGCCTATTTCAGTGCAGAGAATTGAGGTCGTAGATCCTCCTTGAGTTCTCGGTGTTCTATCGCCTCGCCGTTTCTCTCATCTCCCTCTCCCTCTTTCTCTCGTCCTCACTTTCTCTCTCTCTCTCTCTCTCTCTCTCTATCTCTTTCTTTCTCTTTCTACTGTCTTCTCCATCACATCTCTCTCTCTCTCTCTCTCTCTCTCTATCTATCTCTTGCTTTCTCTTTCCACTGTCTTCTCCATCACATCACTCTCACTCTCTCTCTTTCTCTCTCTTGCTCTCTCTCTTCTGTCTTCTTCATCTCATCACTCTCTCTCTCTTCTGTCTTCTCCATCTCATCACTCTCTCTCCTCTCCTTTCTCTCATCTTTCTCTCTCTTCTCGTCCCAGGACTACGACCCGTCTATCCTAGTCTGCCTTGGAGTTCGAGTGACCTGGAACTATGGCTCTGATATACTAAATTCCCTTGTTTAATTAGAAATTAACGGAACGCTGCGAACCCTTGACGAGCAGAGCAATAGAGAGTGTGTGTATGAGAGAGAGAGAGAGAGAGAGAGAGAGAGAGAGAGAGAGAGAGTAATCGGAAGAGAGAACAATGAAGAGAAAGGGAGCGATAGAAACAGAGCAATGAAGGGAGCTATTAGAATTACAGTAAATTCTCTACAATTTGTCTTCAGCTTGTAAGCAAAAATGGATAATTTAGAAAAAGGAGATGCGATTATTCGAGCCTCGCGGCTCATTTTTATAGTTGCCGATTGTCAACGATTATAAAAACGAGGCGGGAGACTCGAAGAAGACTCTACTCTTTTTAAATTGTGCAATTTTGTTTACAAGCTCTAGTCATATTAAGAATTTACTATATTGGATTATGGAAAAAATTTATAATCTTTAATAATCGTTTATTATTAACGTGGAAGATGTATCAACGGTTTCACTTTTCAAGATCTCTGGCGTCACTTCAATTCTCACCTGTTTCTAGAAGCTACGGTTACAAAAATTAAAATAGAAATTATACTTTATATTGCAAAATAATGCGCAGACTGATTTTTGCATACAGTCCATATCTGAAGGAATTCAAGAAGAACAAAGAACAAATAGATTGCAATTGAGAGAGAAAAAAAGAGAGCAATTCAGAGGAAGAGAGAGAAAGAGAGAGCAATTCAGAGAGAGAGAGAGAGAGAGAGAGAAAGAGAGCAACTCAAAGACAGAAAAAAAGAGATAGCAATTCAGAGATAGAGAGAAAGAGAGAGAGAGAGAAAGATAGCAATTCAGAGAAAGAAAGAAAGAGACAGCAATTCAGAGATAGAGAGAAAGAGAGAGCAATTCAAAGAGAGAAGAAGAGAGGAATTCAAAGAGAGAGAGAAAGAGAGAGCAATTCAGAGGGAGAGAAAAATTCAGGAAGAGAAAGAGAGAGCAAATCAGAGAGAGAAAGAGAAAGCAATTCATAGAGAGAGAAAGAGAGAGCAATTCAGAGAGGAAAAGAGAGGGAAATTCAGAGAGAAAAAGAGAACGCAATTCAGACAGGGAGAAAGAGAAGGAGAGAGAATTATCCCGGAGGGTAAAGCGTGTGCACGCGAAGGAACGTTTCTTTCCCGCTATGCGCTCGGTAACTTATTGAGGACCACTTCAATAAATCCACCGGCTCGCGGATGGAATATTAATGCACCGATAACGAGGCTGCTGTAACGCCGGCATTTTCAACCCGGGTCCGCCGCTCTCTATAGGTCGACGACGTGCTGCCCTGCTAAGCCTAATGGGTCTGGCTGCTTTGGCGGCTTCGAAAATATTTTTCTTTTGCAAATTCTTGCGGTTCTGTGCGCGCGCGCGCGCGCGACAGATTCGTAAGCGGACCTCAGCAATAGCTCGACCCTCTCCGATTAATTGCTGCGGTTTATTTCGGTTTCATTCCGATCACGGTATCGAACACTGCAATTCAATCGAATGGACCCCACTCGTTGCTGAGTTTTTCGAAGAGACCGAGTGCAGTCGGGAAGATGCTTTTCATTTGCTGAGTTGGAGAGATTGTTATGTGGCGATAAGGATACTTTACTTGGATACATTAATGATTTGTTTGGAAAATTGCTGGCTGTTTGAGAGGTTCTTGGTATAGGATAGTGGAGCCGGTTTCTGTGGGGTGACTGATCACCGTGCCTGTGCTTTGTTTTCGAGCGTAATTAATTTGGCATTTGTCGGACAAGATTTATTACATTTTTCTATTCTCTTAGTTCGTTTACTTTTGAACGAACGAATTAAATTATAATTAATATGAATATAGTTATGCACGAAAATAAATTAAGGGCGCAGCAAGCATTATTCTGATGGTATTTTCCACTGTTTTAATGGTTGCTTATATTATTGATCTTTCGAGAGAAATCAGCCTTTTTTAGAAGACGTTTTTGCCTCGTTGCGTCAATGACGATTGTTATTTATATAATAAATATTGTTTACCCCTAGATTTACCCCCACGAAATAAACTGGATCAACTAATCGGGAAGAGATAGACCATCTTTAGAAACTATTTTATTATTATTTTATTATTTTATTATTCATCTTTAACCCTCAATCAAACTAAATCTTCGCAGGGTAAATTTCTACCCCAATAATATTTGCATTCGTAACTCCGACTTCGTCGTTCGGGTAAACGAATCAATTTATATTATATTTGAAATAAATATCGTATTTAATTCTGCTCGAAGACGCATCAAAAACAATTACTTTCAAACGTAAACACTGCACAGACATTTGCGGCTTTCGAACGGAGTATAAATCCAGCCCGCGAAGCCATTCGCGCGAGTTTAAACAGCGACGATCCTCGATGCTTAAAACTTTCTAGGATCTTCGGCTACGGTAATCCCATTGTCCAGTACGTTCCACAAGATTTGCAGTATCGAATGTCGAAGGAAGTACGCAGCGATTCTTCGGCGATCGTAAAGATCCGCGCGCGATCTTTCAGAGACCTCTCGATATTCGTGATGGAGTGTCCGGGCTCCGAGCGGCGCGCAGATATTTGTGTTTTCCGAGCGTGACAATCCTTTGGCCGAGATTTTATATTTCGTCCTTTCCCTTCGCGGCGGCCTCTCGCCCGGAACCGGTGCCGGAGAGTCGAAATCCGTTTCACAGGGCCCCCCCGTTGATTTATAGGAGAAGAGGCGTTCTCGCGCGGCGTTCGACTAAATCATCGCGGGGCTCCGGGGCCGCGGTGTTTCGCATGATAAGACAATTCGCGCGATTTTCAGGCCGATATAATTCTTCTTTAATGGCTCGTAAACAAAGTCCCATAAATTCCCGCGTTTCGTCGCGGCCGCCGGCCCTGCCGAGGCGGCTCGAATTTATAATGTCGACGATCAAACGCGTCGCGCGTAACTGCGAATGCAAACCCGCGCTCGTCCGCCCGTCGTCGACGCAACGCCGCCGGTTATCCTTGTTTCCGATCGACGAAAAATCACGTTTCGGTTTTATCTTCGCGAACGGACGACGGAGAAGCGTTCTCCCGGATTCCGGGTAACTGCTCTTCGGGGACCCGTTCGCCGATACAGCTTCCTCTATCGCGGTCGTCCACCGTCGTTCCTTACGAACTGAAGGATGCAGGCTCGCGAAATACCGCGAATCTCGGTTTCGCGGTTTGTCGCTGAAATGCACGCGCACCGTTGTTATTTTATCGAAAGGTTGTGTTTCGATACGAACTGATACCGTTGGGTGATATTCTTTTTGTTTGCATTGTTAAATTATATATTGTGTTTATCTAACGTTGCGGAATTTCTCTTGATTCGGAGCAATGTGTAGAAAAAAGCTCAGAATTATGTGGAAAGCTTTCGTTAATTTGTGATTAGTATTCAACGATGTTCACTATAAGGTTGTTCTACCTTAAAATTGCTAAATTATTCTCCATTAAAACAATATCATCGAAAAGAGCAGAGGAGTATGTGGGCAAATGTAATTATTTTTGAATGTATGGAAATAAATAGATACCATTGAACGATGTTCTATCCATTCGCATCGTTAAGTTCTACAGAGTGTC